GGGGTAGGGGTATGGTTTGCATACACTCTACCCTTCCCAGACCCCACTAATAAAATTCTACTGGGTTGTGTTGTTGTTGTTGTTCCACATCTTAGTTTACTACAATTACCAAATTAATTTCTTAGTTTACTACAGGTACCAAATTTCTAATGAGACTAAACTTGGGATTATTTTATAATCTAATGTTACATTTTTATGTATGTGTTTCTGTGTTTAATGCTATGAGATCGGGGGTTATGGATGCTCTAAGTGGAGTATTCAAGTTAATACTAAGGATCATTTTAAGGTTGATCAAAATGGAAGTCTTAGGTCTATTTTAATTTTCCACATATGTCTAAGCAAGAGTCTACCAAAACTAACTCGTATATGATAGTCTTCATCAAAACAAGTCTACATCCTAGTGTTCTACTAAAAGAGCCTTCCGTATTTCTATCTAATATTATACTTCAGTTCCTCGATTCAATATGTCATAATTCAAACTATAATATTATGTGCTTGAATCTACTACTTACTTCGTGACATTTTGTTTGTCATAGTTTGACATGACACAAAATTAAATAGAAATAGAAATTTTTTTGAAACTTGTGGTTCTAAATATGTCATAATATTTGTATAGCTATAATACTTTTTGAAAGTTATCTTAAATAAAAAATGATATTTGTGTGGTTATAAAAACTTATCATAAGGAAATATAGGAATGGGTAATTAATGTTTTTGAAATAACTTAATTGGTTTCCTATTAAGTATTAACTGTGTCAAACCAATGATATTCTAAGAACTGGAAAGCTATTTTCCACAGGCTAAAATCTTCCAACTATGTATTTTCCTCATTTGCAAACATATCTGGAAATATTAAATTTTGCGAATATCTTTATGTTAACCAGTTGATTTTACTAGTGATTACGCTGTTTTAACATGTTGGTACCATAAAATAATAGTTTAAAGATATTATGCAATCAATTTAATAGTATCAAGAAATTTCAATTGAAATTGTAAGTTGAAGGCATATCAATTACTATGATTGATCAGTACGCTAGGAGACAAATCACATAGTAATTAGTCTTTTTCTTTTTGCTGGCTAAGTAGGGTTGATGTGTAGAATATGACAAAAGTAACCAAAATGATAAAGACGAGGCATGGGATAGCCATCGTTGAATGTCGTATTCAACAACATATTTAGTTGTTTTGCATTAAAGTGGAATTCACAATTCTCCAAATTCTTACGGTTGGCGTAACTCTTTTGCTTGGAATGGACTGTACGAAGCCTATTCTGAATGATCCTGACCTTGTCCAAGGTATCTTGTACTAGATCCGTACCTAACAACTGAGCCTCTCCCGGCTCAAACCATCCAACCGGCGACCGACATCGTCTACCATATAAAGCCTCAAAAGGAGCCATCTGGATACTCGACTGGTAGTTGTTGTTGTAAGCAAACTCTGCTAGAGGAAAAAACTGATTCCACGAGTCTCCAAAGTCAATGACACAAGCTCGGAGCATATCCTCCAAAATCTGAATAGTGCACTCGGACTGCCCGTCCGTCTGAGGATGAAATGCGGTGCTCAACTCAACCCGTGTACCCAACTCTTGCTGAACTGCTCTCTAGAAATGTGAGGTAAACTGCGTACCTCAGTCTGAAATGATAGATACAGGCACACCATGAAGACGAACAATCTCCCGGAGATAGATCTCAGCTAACCTCTCGAAAGAATAGGAGATTGCCACCAGAATGAAATGTGCTGACTTGGTCATCCTGTCAACAATAACCCACACTGCATCGAACTTCCTCTGAATTTGTGGGAGTCTAACAATGAAGTCCATAGTGATACGCTCCCACTTTCACACAGGAATCTCAATCTTCTGGAACAAACCACCAGGCCTCTGATGCTCGTACTTAACCTGCTGACAATTCAAATATCGGGTCACATATGCAACAATGTCCTTCTTCATTCTCCGCCACCAGTAATGCTGCCGCAAATCTTGATACATCTTAGCGGCGCCCGGGTGAATAGAGTACCGGAAACTGTGGGCCTCCGCTAAAATCAACTCACGGAGCCCATCCACATTAGGCACGCAAACTTGACCCTGCAGCCTCAAGACTCCATCATCTCCTAACATAACCTGCTTGGCACCTCCATGCTGCACCGTGTCTCTAAGGACACACAAATAAGGATCATCATACTGCCGATCTCGGATACGCTCCAATAAAGAAGAACGAGTGACTGTGCAAGCTAACACACGGCTGGGCTCAGAAACATCCAACCTCACGAACTAATTGGCCAAAGCTTGAACATCCAAAGCAAGCGGTCTCTCACCGATTGGAATATATGCAAGACTACCCATACTGGCTGACTTCCTACTCAAAGAATCGGCCACTACATTGTCCTTTTCCACATGATATAAGATGGTGATATTATAGTCCCCTTTAATAGCTCCAACCACCTTCTCTGCCGTAGATTTAGCTCCTTCTGCTTGAACAAATACTGAAGACTCTTGTGATCTGTGAACACCTCACATGACACGCCATATAGATAATTAATGCCTCCAAATCTTCAACGCGTGAACAATGACTGCTAACTCCAAATCATGAACTGGATAATTCTTCTCATGAATCTTCAACTGACGCGAAACATATGCAATAATCTTGCCATCCTGCATCAACACCGCACCAAGTCCAATGCGAGATGCGTCGTAATAAACTGTATAAGGCCCTGAACCCGTGGGCAAAACCAACACCGGCGTCGTAGTCAAAGCTATCTTGAGCTTCTGAAAGATCGCTTCACACTCGTCCGACCATCGGAATTGGGCACCCTTCTGGGTTAACCTGGTCATCGGGGCTGCAATAGATGAAAACCCCTCCACAAACTGAAGATAATAGCCTGCCAAACCCAAGAAATTCCGGATCTCTGTAGCTGATACTGGTCTAGGCTAGTTCTTGACTGCCTCTATCTTCTTCGGATCTATCTGAATACCTTCTGCTGATACAACATGACCCAAGAATGCAGCTGAACTCAACCAGAACTCATATTTCGAAAACTTAGCATACAACTTACTATCTCTCAAAGTCTGGAGGAACACTCTTAGATGCTGCTTATGCTTCTCCCGGCTACAGGAATAGATCAAAATATCATCAAGGAAGACTATAACGAACGAATCCAAGTAAGGTCTGAACAGTAGGTTCATCAAATCCATAAAAGCTATTGGGGTATTTGTCAACCCAAATGACATCACCAAGAACTCATAATGCCCGTACCGAGTGCGAAAAGCTGTCTTAGGGACATCGGATGCCCTAATCCTCAACTGATGGTAGCCAGATCTCAAGTCAATCTTCGAAAATTCCTTCGCATCCTGAAGCTGATCAAACAAATCGTCAATCCTCGGTAATCGATACTTATTCTTGATTGTAACCTTGTTCAAATGCTAGTAATCTATACACATTCTCATCGATCTATCCTTCTTCTTAACAAACAACACCGGAGCGCCCCAAGGCGAGACACTAGGTCTAATGAAGCCCTTCTCAAGCAAGTCTTGCAACTGCTCCTTCAACTCTTTCAACTCAGGCGGGGCCATACGATACGGCGGAATAGAAATGGGCCGAGTGCCCAGAGCCAAATCAATGCAAAAGTCAATATCCCTGTCGGGTAGCATACCCGGGAGATCTGAAGGAAATACCTCAGGAAACTCATGAACAACAGGCACACAAGCAATAGAAGGAACCTCAGCACTAGAATCACGAACATATGCCAAATAAGCCAAATACCCCTTCTCGACCATACGCCGAGCCTTCATGTATGAAATAACACTACGAGTAGAATGACCAGGAGTCCCTCTCCACTCTAAACGAGGTAAACCCGGCAAGGCTAAGGTTTCAGTCTTGACATGACAGTCCAAGATCGCGTGGTAAGGTGATAACCAGTCCATCCCCAATATGACAACAAAATCAACCATGTCCAGAAGTAACAAACCTACACGAGTCTCAAGACCCCCCATCACAGCTATACATGAACGATGGACACGATCTATCACAATGGAATCACCCACCGGTGTAGACACATATATAGGAGCATTCAAAGAATCACTAGGCAAGACCAGATACGATGCAAAATAAGATGACACATAGGAGTACGTAGATCCTGGATCTAATAGAACTGAAGCATCTCTATTACAAACCAAAACAGTACCTTTGATAACTGTATCGGAAGCCTTAGCCTCAGCCTCAGGTCTGGCTGGAAGAGCATAACATCGGGGCTGGGCCCCACCACTCTGAACTACATCTCTGGGACGGCCTGCTGCTGGCTGGCCTCCACCTCTAGTGGCCTGAGCTCCACCTCTAATACCTCTACCTCCACCTCTACACCTCTAGCTGGCTGGGCGGGTGGTGGAACACTCGGTGCCTGAACCATGGCACGGGAACCCTGATGCTGAGAACTGCTCAGTGCTCGAGGGAAATATATTCCAGTTGGGGATAGACCTCTTGTAGTTGATGTTCAGGCCTTGGCCAATCAGTTCGTGAGGTTAGATATTTCGGAGCCCAGTGGGGTATTGACTTGTGTGATTTCTCGGTCTTCCTTATATGATCGCATCAGAGAGCGCCAATATGATAATCCTCATTTGCTTGTCCTTAAGTATAGGGTTCAGCACGATGATGCCAGAGATGTGACTATTGGTGATGATGGGGTGCTGAGGATGCAGGGCCGTAAATGTGTGCCCAATGTAAATGAGCTACGAGAGTTGATTCTGGAGGAGGCCCATAGCTTGCGGTATTGCATTCTCTTAAAGTTTGGTTTCTTTCATGAGCAAAAAATGAAAGGGACGTCGTATTGTGGGCTTTATCCCAGTAGCGAACTAACAGATTTTGTTACCAAAACATTTACATACGTCAAACATTACTTTACTATTATTTAGAAATAGGAGTTGGGGTGTACGAACATGGGCAACTTAGTAATTATGAATGTCTGTCATTGGCTTTCTGGTACTTTGATTTTTAATTACTGTTTTTTAGGTTTTCCTCATGTCACTTACACATGTTAGCCTTTTTTTTTTCCTCTGCGACACCTGTCTTCTATTCCACTTCATTTCGATGTTTTCAATTCTTTCTTGGTTCTTCAGTGCATTATTGCTCTGTAAATTTTCTTTTGCTTTCATTTTTTGTCCTTCCTTAAAAATGGAATTATAAGGATAGCTAAACAAGACATATATTGCATTCCTGTCTTTACTGGTAAGTTTTCCTATGATCTTATTTCTAGTTAAATGCACATTGTTATTATTAATGGGATTTTAATGGGTATCTGATATTTCCTCTAATCTTTTGGAATTTTCGCTTGATTTTCACACTCTTGTTGTTAATTGTATCAAATTTGCATACTTATGCATCGAGAATGTTTGATAATATGCCAAAGCCACTGATTTTCTTAAACTTTTCCTCATTTGCTTGCCTTCTGTTAGATTTTTGTTATTTCTTTCTTTTTAAATATAATTCCTTACAGAACTATAAGAAGTTGAAATTAAAACCTCGGCAAGATAATCTTCAAGACGCCTGGTATTAGAGATTACTTTTGGTAGTTACAGCTATAAATTTATCAGCGCACATTGACATGTAGTAAGATTTCTCCATGAAATTAGTTGTTTCCTCTGTATAAGCATTATGTATTCTGGCTTACGTACCTTTGTGCAACATCATGTTCATATAAATGACTTTTAGTACTACCGCACTGTGCAAATTCAAAGTCTTTGATCATATAAGTGAAACACTAACTATATTTTATTTTATTTCTTTGTCAACATATTCTCCACAACATTCTGATCTATCATTCAACAACTCAAATGCCACATTGTTAAGTTCTTATTAGTTGTATCATATGTTTTACATATATGCCATTTGTTGCCATATGCATCTCCATTAGAATATGTCTACTATTTACCTAACTTTATTTGTGTTAACAAGAGAATTAAATATACCATATTATTTTTTGGATTTATACCAACTTACAGATATTGATTTTGTAAAATTGTAAACAACTTGCAATACTTGCAACATGTGTATCTGGAAACAAGGATACTATAATTTTCCTGCGTAGACCTTAAAAGATTGAGGAACATCGAATTGGTAATAGAAATTTATGACGTCGCAGTAGATATGCACAAATGTATTCCAAGAGAACATAATTACTTTTGTCCCACCTACGAATTAAAAGAGTTGGATAAAAAAGTCAAACACTCTTATGATTATTCAAATAATACACTCTCCTGATGTATAAATTGGGTAGAAGGCTTTGGGTTTGAGATCCAAATTTAATAACAACAGTATACATTCAAGTGAAAGTGGTAGAGAGAGGGTTGAGATGTCAAGCTGAAAAATAGTGAATTTTCCAGGTTATCAAAAGATTTGAGTGGTAAGTTTTAAAAATTATTTCACTGTTTAAATCATATAAACTAGATTAAACTTTTTGCTATAGTGTTGGAGAACTTGAGAGTGGTTTGATTATTGACTCCATATTGTGAAGAAAATAGAGAATTTGTCACAGTTCCCCTTTCTTTATTGTTGTACTTCAATACTCACTTACATGCTTCGTATTGTTGGAGAAATTTTGTTTAGATTTTATAAGAAATGTGTTAGTCTGGCATAGCGAAGTTAAGGTCCTTTCTTTATGGCACTTTAAATATGCTATGGAGAGATAAGGAGTCTTTCCAGGATATATCAAACAACTTTTGTCATGCATACATGCCTGGCCATAATTGTTAGTATAACAATTGAGAAAGTCAAAGGAAGATATTACATGTGAAATGCCTTACTTCCATGAGCAAACGGAAAGATTGTAAAGTGAAAGAAAGAAGTATGCATAAAGTTTATGTGAACTGTAAATCTTTAAGTACTACTTTCTGTCGATGTATCACTTCTCAACATTACTGCAACTTTCAGATTGATAAAGTTATGTGTGCCTTTAGCTTTGACCAGATTTTTGTGTTATTCATGTGTTACATCTTCTCTTTTTTCCTCTAATGCTTGAATTTTTCTTTCTTTCTTTTATATTCACTTTTGCCTATGCAGTTTGTTACCTCATTATTTTGATATATTTTTATACAATGGAAAACAAGATTCTTAAGGGGTTTTACACAGTCCATGCATTATGGGAGCCAAATTAGATTAAATTAAAGAATTCTCAAATGCACTAAAAACTTTGGATCCAAATTTGTATATATAAGTGTTATAGTTGTTCTCATCCGTGAAAAAGGCGAATATCTTGGTATAGGGTTCCCTATCATTAGGTTGAGTTACAGATAGTTGGTTTGATAAATTCAGGGCTCACACATAGTTGTTATAAAGGTTGTTATTGCTTAGGGTGCATCAGTTTTTTAGATTGATAAAAATGAGAACTTGGACCAATAATTGAGGCATAATTTATGATCAATAAATATTTAATACAGGCACTTTATAGATTCACAATACACATAGAGTACCATTGCTCGCAGCTGATAAGAATATTGCACTTCAGTCCGGTTTTGTTTGTTCATAACAAGTTAGAACTTTCCGCTTTTGTAATAGAGACTCCATTTCATGTTGTAGTACAACCTTTTGGTTGCCTACTAACCAGATTTTAATTGTTTGATGTTTGAATAATAGAATTGAGAAAGAAGGGGAAAAAGCTTGGTATGTTCAGCCGAATAATGTAACGTCTGAGGACTACTTTACAATCTTTTTGTTTGTCTATTTAAAATATAAAACTCAATAGTTTTTCAATAGCATTTCTGAGTTCTTTTCAAGGGCTTTTGCAGATGTATATTGTTTAACCCAAAAAATGGTTTTCAAGGTCAAAGTAATAATTTTATATGACGGGCCACAAGCAACCGATTCAATCCGAAAGATATAAAATTTCGTTAATACAATGTGATAGAGAAGTGAGAAATAAATTCAATGACAAATAATACAATAAAAATAAAGCAGAGAAGAAAGAATTCTTATTGAATGATCCTTGATAGGATAATAAGCCGAACAGAGCTTGAAGGGCCGAACTATGGCTAACTTGGGAGCAATATGCTATAAATTACAATGTATAGAATTGTAGAGAAGAAAATTAGATTCCCCTGATGGTGGTAAAAGTATGTCTATTTATAGGGCTAAATCTAAATAACTAGTCTCCTTAAATTATGGGTCCATTATGAGCATTTACTCAGTCCATCCATTACTTTTGAAAGACTTGTAACAACTGTGTAAATGCTGGAATTCCGTAACTGATGAGTTAATTCCATAACTGATGAGTTAATTTCGTAATTAATGAGTCAATCTCGTGCTTGTTGAGTCAATCTCGTGCCTGTTGAGTCAATTCCGTGCCTGTTGAGTCAATCTCGTGCCTGTTGAGTCAATTTCGTGCCTATTCTGGGCTATTTCATGATGATCAGTTCCGAGGCTAACAGGCACGGTACGAGTA